ACCCTGCAAAGCAGTCTACATTACCACAGCTAGTTAGGAAAGTGGATAATCAGTGTCTCAAAATACCTGGGTGTGGTGATTCGGTATTTTAGTGCTAAAAAAAGAACACTTGTGTCCACATTTCTTGGGCTGGTTGAATTGGAGGCAGGTGATGCCAAATCAATAGCGAAGGCAATAGTTGAGTTTCTTGAAAAGTGTAATCTTAAAAAAGAGAATCTTCAGGGTATTGGCACTGATAATGCCTCTGTGATGACTGGGGTGCACAATGGAGTCCACAAGATTTTAAAAGAGGAATGTTCTTTGCCCAATTTGATACTCATTCGCTGTGTGTGCCATTCTTTACAATTGGCTGTCAGTGCAGCATCCAAAGAAACCATCCCAAGATGTGTTGAATACTTAATCAGGGAAACATACAACTGGTTTTCGATTTCCCCAAAACGACGAGAGGCATACAAAGCAGTGAATGCCACCATTAATTGCGGTCATAAACCCCTGCAGATCACCAAAGTGTGTGCCACACGTTGGCTATCGATTGAGCCTGCAGTAACTCGTATATTGGACCAATGGGAAGAACTTAAACTCCACTTTGAGTTTACCAAGAGCAGTGAGCATTGCTACATGGCAGATGTGCTCCATGCCATGTACATGGACAAGAGCAACTATGTGTATCTCACATTCTTAAAATCAATCCTGTCTGACGTACAAGTTGCAGTGAAGTCATTTGAGGGTGAACATACAGATCCTGTCAAGCTTTTGGACAATCTGGTTAACCTCTTATTATCAGTTTGCAGCAGAGTAGTCAACCCTATGGCAAAGATTGATGTTCTGAAGGATGCCATTGATGGTCATCTTAGTCCAGCACCATATCTTGGGTACCTTTTTGAAAGTACACTGTCCCAGCTCAGTCTTGCCATAGAGGATGAAAAGGTCATTCGGAGACGATGCATCAATTATGTCATTGCTCTAAGCAAGGAACTGCAAGCAAGGCTCCCAGACAATCTCGAAATCTTACGAAACATGGCTCTGTTCAGTGTTAAGGAAACACTGAAGCACAATAAAAGCAACACTGAAATTATAAATGTAGCTGAGCTACTGGGGTACCAGCCCCAGACAATTGACAAAATTGTGTCCCAATGGAGAAACATACATTTTATGAGGTGGGAATCAACTGAAAATACCATTGACTTCTGGAGTGAAGTATATAACTACACAGATGCTTCTGGGTCAAAACCATTTGATGAACTTTGCAAAGCGGCATTGACTGCCCTCTCACTGCCACACTCAAATGCAGAGGTTGAAC